ACATGGTGTGGAAAGAATACAGAAGTTAAAAACAAAGTACTCTCCCTGACCTCCCTGGAAAGAGAGACCAAAACCCATTAAAAAAATAAAGAAGAATACACATTAAACTACACATAATAAGTGCCAGATGAGTGATTCAGATAATTGCATAGCTCAAGTGGCCCCAAGTGATGGGGCACTATACCTCAACCAGTGGACTGACTTCTTTCTTAGAGCGAAGCCCTTGACTGCTGATCATGGGGCTTGGAAGGCTCTTCCTTAGCACCATCTCTGCTCATCTTAAACTTCACAATCCTCTATCCTGCATGCCCCTCTCTTTAAAAAACACTTCCTAATTTTTTGTTTGTTTTCTCTCATCCTCCATGCTGTGGAGCTTATCTTTCTATCTATATAAAATCTGCATAAATTGCTTTTGAAACACTTCTCACATCCTAACTTCTAAACATTTATTCATGTTCTTCCATTTTTTAAAATAGAGATTTCTTTTATGATGTAACAAAAATATTGCATACTTTGCACCACAAACATTTAGAAAAAGACTCTGAATAAACAGATTATTCTTCCATAAGCATCTATTGTGTGCACTTTCCTGTCAGGCCATGTATAAGACCATGGGAGATGTGGAGGCCTGCTGTCCTCCACAAACACTCATGATCCAATCAGATGGGATATCCATATAGAGGTACAGGTGGAAAGAGGGATGTCTAATGAAGCACTCTCTAGAGTAAGGAAGCATAAAGAAGAGCCTTGAAGGACAAATGGGGATACATGGCAATATTGACTCACCTAGACCTTCATTCATACAGTTTTTGAAGGCCATTAATAGCTATAATAAATTTACCAAATTATATGTATAGAATAGATATTTGATGGGGCTGGAGTTGTGGCTCAGTTGTAGAGAATTTGCCTAGCATGTATAGGGCATTGGGTTTGATTTTCAGTACCACATATGAATGAAAGAATAAAGAATAAACATCTAAAAATATTTTAAAAACATAATACAATAGGTGTTTGATTAAGTATATGACAAAATGGTACCATGTACTCTATACCCAGCTTAATTTATTAGATTATCTTATAGGGTACAGTTTTTAAAAATAAAAACAGGTTTCACAATGTTAGATACATTCATAGGTGAGAGCTCTATATCTGATTACTAAGATACCCCAGGGTTGTTCACAGCTACAACTCGGAGTTAGATCTTATTTGTTACTTCATTCCTACAAATTTTCTATGTTTACCCTTCTAAACAAAATACTCAGCTGAATGTATTAGAGCCTGTTATATTACCTTAGGGGAGGAGAGAAGAATTGCACCTTATATTTAATATTTGTCTTATTTCTTTATTTCAATTTGTGCTATTTAATTTTTGTAATATCTTTTATGTTAAAGAATTAAGTGTGTGTGTGTGTGTGTGTGTGTGTGTATGTGTGTGTGTAAATATCTGAGGGTATCAATTATATAAGTATTGGAAGGCATCACTCAACATAATCACTGTCTCTTTGTTAGACTATGTGTGGTAATAATAGATGGTCTGGCCAAAAGTGATTTGAATATAATATGCTTATTATTTACTTAACAAAAGTCTTAACAGAATAGTGACTTCATTTTCTGTTTCTATCCATAGCATTGGCATGACTTTCAAGAGCAAATTATCATGTCATGATGAATGTACCTTACCCTACCCAAAGTCTCTGTGATTTTTGGCACTCTATGTTGAAATGCTTAGGCAAACTCTTTTAAGATTTCAAATTTATTGATATTTGTATTTTACTGATTCTAAGAAGCACAAACATGGCATATTTTCACTTTTATAACATTAAGCTATTCAAAGGGGTAATAATGATGTTTTCTTTGAAACCACTTAAGGCGTTATAAGAGATAAGTATGTGTGTTTTAATTAATTTCATAATCCTCTGAGCTATGGAAATAGAAAATCTGAGCTCACGCTAAGCTTCATATCTCTGTGCTCTCCCACCCAGGACTGGCAGAGACATGTGTGCGGGTCTCTGATCCTCTGTAACATTCCAAAACTGGCAACTTGATAGGCGGTAACCACAGTAGACATCCCTTGTCAGATGGAAATAATTGATTGTAATTGCTTTGCCATTGTATTGCCTTTGGAGTCTGTAGCTTGTTAAAACCACTGATTATAAAATAAGGATCTCACTTTTTATGCTGTAGGTTATGTTAATGAAAAGCTGTTCTTAAAGGAATGATCAGTGAATATCAATAAATAGATAATAAGAAATTAAAGGAAAAGTTAACTAACTGATCATGAGTTAATGTACTTCAGCAGTCAGAGCAGCAGTGAACTGTGTGGCATTTCATATTGAATATCTTGGTTGGATCTCTTGAATATTAAATATTTCCCAGAGAAAGAGAGATTGATTCTGTGTGGCTGTTTATCACACACTGCCTTGAATAACAGATCTTCACTGTACAGACAATCTCTTAGAAAATGGAAAATGTGTCTGTTTGCAGAGTCTTTGTTTTGTTTCAAAGTATTAACAATCAGATATTTTACACTGAAAAAAAAAAAAAGTTTCCATTGTAACACCAAGAAGGAAGATACCAAAAAGTCAATTTGTTTTTTCAATGCTCACAATAAGTGAGGAATATGAGAGTTATATAAATAATCTTAAGGTATTGTTTTTGAAATATTCATTAACATTATACATCTACCAAAACAATAGCATAATTGTAAAGTTGTATCTAATGTTTTGCTTGAAGAGATACAATAACTATTGATAGAGTTGTAATGAGATCTTAAATGACCCCATCTTTCATTCATACCATTTAAATGGTTGGTGATGTTAGGAGGACAGATTTATTGACAATATTTTTACTGAGCAACAATTCTGATTAGATTTCAACCCCTCTCCTAAAGGAGTTCATAGACTAAAAGGATGGGTATGGATAAACTTAGGAACAAACTATTATGGCATTAAATGAATAATGGGAAGCAGGGTTGGGGGAGGCACAGGACAGGAGTAGATCATTCAAGTTCTGAAGGATTTCAGGGTCTCTCCCAGAAAAAAAGAATAAGTGGATGAGAAAGAAGTTTGATTGAACAAGAGCAGTGTGACAGAATCTGGCATTTGAGGGGAATACAGTAATAGTTGAAAATTAAGTTGTATGTTTGGTATGTTTGGAGTGCAAGAAGTGACCAGCGAGATGTCTATCATCCCATTGGCTCTGGGAGGGGGGTGGTGCTGAGGCAGGAGGATTGCAAGTTCAAAACCAGCCTCACCAATTTATTGAGGTCCTAAGCAATTCAGCAAGACCCTGTTTCTAAATAAAATATAAAAAAAAGTTGAAGGGAAGCTGGGGATGTTGCTCGGTGGTTAAGGCCCCTGGGTTTAATCCCCAGTACTCCTCTAATGCTATTAAAAAGAGAGCAGATAGGCAAAATTACATTAAAAGAAATTAAATTAAAATTAAAAGAAAGCCCATCTTTCTTTGTTTTATTAAGTTATCCTCATGACAGTAACCACTGAGGAATATTTATTTCCTTAAAAAATATATTTATTTATGTATTTATTGATTGTGGTGCTGGGGATTGAACACAGGGCTTCACACATGCCAAGTTTCCATTCTGCCACTGTATATATCTCAGCCCCACTGAGGACTTTTAGATGTGGGAGAGACATGAGCAGGTTTCCTTTTAAGATGATTGGTTTCCCATCAGTTTGCATAAAAAGCAGGGAAGAAGCTCATTGTGACCTGTAGTTAGTGAGCTGATTTCGTATGCCATGCTGGTGAACATTATTAGCAATCTAGATCTATAAAAAGGAAATTTAAAAAGCTTATGTTGAATAATTTATTCATCTTTGACTTTTTAAATACATATATTTTCTCTTGACTGTTAAAGTGGAATTGGTGTTAATACTTCATATGCTGAAAATTCTATAGCTAGAAAAATGTCTACATATGGTGATAGAATCTGTATCCTATAGATAGTACATATTTATGGTTAGTTTCATATTTGGAAAGCAGATAGAGATGTATAGCTTAATTTAAAAATGTAACTGATTATGATTTCAAAAATACATGTTTAAGAGAATGCTAAAAAATGACAATAATTTGGTCCTGTTAAATATTTACCAGAAACATTCTTCACATGTGATTATCAGTTTCAGAATTTGGAACATTTGCATTTTAATTACATAATAAAAGGAGAAAGTGAAAGAATAATTGGCTTAGCTATTAGCCAATTGTAGCTGTAGCTAAAAGAACTCAAAAACTGACATGAGTTTTCTACAGAACAATCACGAAATACACTGATCAGATGTTTAATGATATTTGGCAACAATAAAGCAAAAAAAGATGTTGTTTCAATACTTCATACAACACATTAGCTGAAAGTAGATTTGGGTGTTTGGCTCAGGATCAATCAACTTTTACTGTTAATGTGTCCTCAAATGAGACTTCTCTAGAGTAACTCCAATTATTAAAACCCAGTGAAGAAATACAGTGGTCCCTCGTCAACTTCAGGGTATTGGCTCAGGAGACTCAATGGATTGGTGTCCAGATGGATGTGCATGCCTCTTGAGTAACATGGAGTTGAGTTTGCATAACCTATGCATGCCCCTTTATATACTTTAAATCATCTCTGGATTTTTTTATGATACCAAGTACAATGTAAATGGTATATAAATAGATGTTACATTGTATTGTTTATGTGATGCAACAAGATAAAAAGAAGTGTAGGTATGTTCAGTACAGATACAGCTCTTATCTTTCTGAATTTTTTCCATGTGTAGTTGATTGAATCCCAGGATGTGGACTTGTGGATATAGAGGGCTGATGAGGACAACTGAATACAGTGGGTTAACTAGCTGTGTTGCTCAGTACTGTTTAGTGTCAATTCGGTTTGTCTCAAGTCCCTGCCATTGTACCCCATACACAGGCCTGGATGCACACATCTGGGCCAGTGACAGGAGCAGTTGGTGTTGGAATGCATGCTGACAGTATTCCCTCTGTGCTCTCCTTGACAGATACAACGACATATTCCACTGAGAGATCCGAGCACTTCAAACCCTGCCGAGACAAGGACCTTGCATACTGTCTCAATGATGGCGAGTGCTTTGTGATTGAAACCCTGACAGGATCTCATAAACATTGTCGGTAAGCCACTGTGGCCGCTGGTTTCAAGGGCTGGCTCTTAGAAAGGATGGACAGAGGTGGAGGATGATGGTGATCTTGGGAATATACAATATCCAGGATGTATAGAGCCCTGCCATTTGAATGGAAATATTGAGAGTCTTAACATGGAAAGGCAAAGGAGATATCTCCTTAACATTCAAGGAAGAAACAAAGGAGAGTAGATGAGGTTTAAGCTTTAGCTAACCAAATCAAGGAACACTTAGTTTTATATCTGCCAATTTAAAGGAAATAATTTCTTTACAAGCCTATATTTCTGGCATGGGATTTAAGTTTGTCTCCTTATACTCAAAAATAATCCTTTCTTGCAAATTTAAGGACCATGGCAAGAAAATAAAGCACTTCCTCTTAGGTCTAGAGTCTTGGTGTTTCATGTGAAATGAACCCCAGAGAATGTAACTGTGTCCAGAGAGAAACGCATTTTATTTTGATTCTGCTGTCCTTGATTAATTCCAGTTCTTTTTTTTTTAACACCTCTGATGATGAAACAATCTCCAGCAAGATGTTGTAAATGAAATCACAGTCCTGTTATGGTCTAGTAGACAACTACTTAAGGAAAATTCCCAGCAGAGATCAGAAAGGTGTTTAATTGGTTTTTAGAGACATAAGGTTATATAATAGCTAAAAATAAAAACAAGTGGAGATAAACAGTTCTCTTGTAGAGACACTGCAGCTTTAAGGCTCAATAGAAGAATCAAATTAACATGCAAAATAAATTTCCCACGGAGCTTTTATTTCTGACACTACCCTGGTAATTTGTTTTTCCTTGCAATTGTGTATGCTTCAGTGATCACATATATCCACACCCCTTTTCTTCTCTTTATTTACTCTTCTCATATGACACAGTTATTAAATTAATTATTCTGAACCATGAAGCATGGAAAATTATGACTTTTCCCCCCTATTTGTTGCTATTATAAAACTTTATTCCCATGTTGTTTTATTAAGATAGTGCAGAGAAATGCATCTTACAGTTATAGATTAAGAATGTGACAGCAAAACCTGTGTGAGTCCAAGAGCCAGGTACAGTCCAGAGGGAGGATATGTGGCCACAGGGAGCAGCCACACAGGTCTGGAAGAACTGATAAATGATAGTTGCATATCTCAGGAGAAGTTTTCATATGTCTCCAGGCATGGTGGTATATGCCTGTAATCTCAGTGACTGAAAAGGCTGAGACAGGGGAATTGCAAGTTCAAGACCAGCCTCAGCAAATTGGCAAGGCTCTAAGCTATTTAGCAAGGCCCTGTTTCAAAATTCTAAATAAATAAATAAGTATAACAAGGCTGGGAATGTGGTTCATTGGTTAAGCTCTGCCTGTGGTTCAATCCCTGGTATAAAAAAAAAAAAAAGCTTATCATATGTTCTGTATTGGGTCAAATGGTACTGAGGTCTTTGTTTCCTTGTTTTTGACATGTGGCTTTCTCTTGACTTTAGCAATGTCATTAAGTTTATTCCATTTGCACATCCTTCACCCCATTCCTATTCATTGTGAACTTGAGTTTGGGATGAAGCTGCCTGGGAACTAGTCTTCCCCACATGTCTCTTCTCTTGCCACATGTATTATATCCAACAGGGTACAGGTAGGGAGCACACAAGTAATCTAAGCACCTCAAAGAGAAATGAATGTGGTACCTTTTCAAAGTCTGATGTCGGTCCAAGGTCTTTCAGACACTCATCTACCTGTTAATCTTACCTTAGTCAATCAAGTGTGATCAACACATGGAAGGGGGTACTATCCTGTGGTTAGGGCTGGTGACCCAGAGGCTCATGTGTTGGAAGTTTGGTTCCTTGTCTGTTGATGTTGAGGTGTTGGAACCTTTACGAGGTGAAGCCCTGTGGAAGGTAAGTAGGTCATGGAGGCTCTAACTGAATGCATTAATGCATTAATGCTGACTTGAAAGTGTGGGACAGATCTCCTTCCAGTGGTTTGGTTACCTCAAGATCAGGCTGTTATAAAAAGAACAGCCTTGCCATCTCCACTGTCTCTAGCTTCCTTGTTCACACATGCGCCCTTCCACATGCAGCTGGTTCCTTCCTGCTTCTCTACCATAGTGTCATGCAGTCTGGGACCCTCATTGGGATGCTGTCACTGGGATATTTGGACCTTCTAGTCACCAGAAGTATGACTCAAATTAACCTTTATTTTATAAGTTACCCATAAACTCGGATATTTTTAAAAATATTTATTTTTTAGGTGTAGATGGACACAACACAATGCCTTTATTTTTATGTGGTGCTGAGGATCAAACCTGAGTCCCTCCCATGCTAAGCGAGCGCTCTACCGCTGAGCCACAATCCCAGCCCCAAAACTTGGATATTTTGTTAAAGCAATGCAAAATGGATTAAGGCAGTGGGTAGTAGTCACTTAAATTTGGACTTCTAATCCACTGAAGGAAGGGTGATCCATTAGAAGTGTCAGCTAATGTAGTAATTTTCTTTAGTGATGTTTTACTACAGGGAAGAATCAAATCAGGTCCTACCATAATGTGCAGGCCGATAATATTCATCTTTTTCAAAGATGAGTATGCAGACAGGAACAAAATAATTGTTTTTTTCCCAACATATGGCTTTTCTAATTCTTAAGTTGATGGCTGTATTAATTTCCTAGGGCTGCTATAACCAACTATGACAGACTATGTAGCTGAACACCAGAAGTTTCTTTTCTCACAGTTCTGGAGACTAGAAGTCCATGATGATGGAGTCAGCAGGGTTGGTTTCTCCTGAACTTTTCTTCTCTGCTTATAGATGGCCATCATCTACCTGTGTCTTCTTGTTTGTCCTCTGTAGATTTGTGTGTTCAAATTTGCTCCTCTTGTATAGGCACCAGTTAGATTGGCTTAGAGCCAAAACTAATGAACTTATATTGATATAATTACTTCAGTATAGATCTTTTCTCCAAATATGATCACATTTTTCAGTATTGATTATTAGTACTTTAATATAGAGATTTTTTGAGACATAATTCAGTCCACGATAATACATCTTGCTTTTGTGTAAATGCATGTGCATGTGTAATTTTTGTAACACATACATACAAGCAGAGATATATCTGTGGTTTAGCTGAAGTGATGTACACGTGTAATAATTTTCATCTTCTGTCTTCATATTTCTTGCATATTTCAGTTTAGACAACTTGTTATTTAACATACAGTGACAACACAGCTAATCGTGACAAAAGACAAGCTAAGACAGGGTTGGAACTCAAGTAGGATAATAGATGCCTATAAATCTCCTACTAGTGTTGTATGAATAAATCACACATCACATGTACCCACTATTCATTTCTCAGGCTTTGCTGTGAATAAAAGACATGCATTTGTTCCTACATCAGCCACTTCTAAAAATCCCTGCATAGTTATTAATGTGGCATTTTGTATAGCACTCTATTTAAGTAGTATGTTTCATTCATTCTTCTCCCTTTTGAGAAATGTTTATTTAGGACCTCCTATCACCAAGAGAATGTTGAATAAATACATACAGAAATGAATTTAAGAATTAAGTAGCAATGCAGTTCATAACGTGTTTCCAGGAGTGAAATACTTCATCATTAGGAAATAACAAAAAGAAAGCAAAGTGCTTTACAATAACTGGCATGCTTACGGTGGCATCTTTATGACATATTAGTTACTAGATTATGTTTCAAGCAAAATAAGACACCATTTAGTATATCAGAGTGGCAATACAATGGCTTGCACATGTATCTAATGTATAGTTTATTTTTCACATGTCACAAAGATTATAAATGAAAATCTGAGAAATTAACATGATGTCTTCTCAATTAAAAAATGCATTCCTATGATAAATTGTAAAGCAAATTAAAAAATTGTATTGAATTTTTTCCACACTCAGAAAAGAGACCTTGCTCTGACACATTCTTTTCTCATTGCCCAGGAGGAATAGTGGCAAAGCTTCCAAACTATCTATAATAGAAATCCTGAAAGTACATGTTGAAAAAAAGACAGTGTTAATTTCAGAAAAAAAAAGCACTGAGAAAGGGGTAAGATTTCTTTTGTTATTGTCTCATTCTGTGTGCACTTTCAATTTTTTCAAAAAATCACTTATATTATTAATAAATAAAACTATAAAGCAAATGAATAAAAATTTAAAATGAATTCTGAGGTCATAGCCAGGCACAGGGGCACATGCCTGTAATTCCAGTGACTCTGGAGGCTGAGGCAGGAGGATCACTGCTCAAAGCCAGCCTCAGCAACTCAGTGAGGCCCTAAGCAACTTATTGAGATCCTGTCTCTAAATAAAATACAACAACAACAACAAAAAATGGCTGGGGATGTGGTTCAGTGATAAAGCACCCCTGGATTCAGTCTCAAGTACAAAAATAAATAAATAAATAGAACAATAAGTAAAGAAACATGGAAAATTGGAAATTTGTTCTTCTGAATCAAAATATATTATGAAGTCATGTATGTCCACATGGCAACTAATAAAAACAGATCCTGGAACTCAGTGAGTCTTAATATAGAACAAGGATGGATTCATGAGCCAGAGGTAAAATGAGGAAATGAGGGACTGACTGTTCAATCAGGCTGCCTATCAGATAATCCAAACCCCAAGCATACTTTGATCTGTCTCTCTACACAAGAGTTGTTCTCAATGGAGTCAGAAGGTATTGCAGTAAATAAATAAAGCCTAAGGAAAATAAAAGATAAAGTGACATGTTTATTTATGTCAGCATTGAAACAATTTGTGAGTAAAAAAAAGAAGTAATGGAAGGAAAATTTAAGCAACATTGACAAGACATTGTTTTTTCATCTGAACATTTCATACAACATTACATTTTGTTCTGTTTACATTATGTCAGAAACAAAATTATAAGTTAACCTATGAGAAGAATGAAGAACCAATGTGGCAAAGAATTAATATCCAGAAATCACATAGAATACTGAGGGTGACACAAAAATAAAATCTGAATAGGGAAGTGGCAGAAGGCAAGAATATATTCTTT